CCTGCTGAAGACATACAGCATTTCGGCATTTAATGGGTATCTTAAAGGAACAGTATGGGCTGAACACGGCAGCCAAGCAGCAATGGCAAGGAAAGGGCTCTGGGCATGTCCAAAATGCTTTTGAATTTTCACAGCACCCGAGGATCCTGTAGAGCTCTGCAGAGCCACCACCCCAAACGTGGTCATGCTGAGGACCTCCAGAACGCGGAGGTGGGACAACAGGAGGTGCAGGAAAGCCTCGTGGTCTCACAGCAGGACGTAAGACACAATGTGATCCAAGACACATCACACAGTGATTTCCATTTTGATCTCATGACCATGGTGTTCACCACAGGTCCGTGATGAAGCCAATAAAGGTTAACACATAGTGCAGTAAATATTGCAGATTGTGCAGAGTCATGAGCTCGCGGACAGGCATGGCTGGGTGGTTCAAATCCTGGCTCAAAGCATTCCTGGTGAGGTCTAATATCCAGGCTTTAGGTCGAGTCGCACCAGTGCGGATCTGGAACGACTGGCTTGGTTTCCTGACGGTGCAAGTTTTGGAAGTGTCACCGGAGCCAACGATGCAGCTCTGCAGAGAAGGTGAATTTGCGTTCCTGATTGCCTCAACGGGACTTCGGCTGCTTTGGCCATCGGAAAATCCGGTTTAGTGAGATGGCTCCGTGCTAACGTCGGTGTGCCGAGACCAGGACCTGTCCTGGATGGAAGTCAGAGCATCCACGGGGTGCTGAAGCAGGGATGGTCTTCATTTTGTGGGTCGCTATTTTGGAGATGGGGATTGTTCTTTTAACATCACTTTTTCACACCAACATGTTGTTGGCACGAGGCAGCCGCGCTCGGCGCTGGACTGGGCTGTGCTGCATCGGTGGCGGGGGGATTTAGGGGAGGGAGGGTACTTTATATGACTCTGTATATATTACATGACCATAAATGTGTCATTATTTGATTCCCACGTACAAATTCAGTAGATAGAAGTGAACTTAAAGCACTTTATTTGAAAGAGTACAGTAATTATTAGACATTAAAACTCATTTTTGGGCCCTGTGCAGTTTATGTGAGTCTTAAACATTGTCGAGGTAAATAATAAATTAAACGCTGACATCTGAAGGAGAAGAGGCATGTAATTAACTTGAACATTGCCAAGAAAAAAAAAAATTCAGCTGTATGGCATTTTGTAGAGCAAGTCATTGACAGGATAACTCCTGGGTAGGTTTCTTTGGATTTGTTCTCCTTTGCAAAGTAACAAAAATGCAAACTAACTTAAAACTGGGTATTTGGTGATTTAAATACAATTCTACACTCTGATGGATTTGAAACATGGTTTTAATTCCCGTTGCCGAGAACAGACAGATTTTCTGAGAAGCCTTTTCTGAAATAACATTCAAATGCTGCTTTGCCATTGAAGGAACAAGGTGGAGGACTGGAATCAGTATTTTTGTTGTGGCAGAGAAGGGGTTAAATGAGTGCTGAAACTGCTGCGCTTGGCTAGTAGCCTTCTGGGGATACTTGCATTAATTGACCAGTAGAGTAAAAAGGATCCTTGGCTACAACAAATAAAGCTGGGTATCTTTCTCCCTTCCTTTGTAGCGTGGCACCAGGGACAGCCAGCGACAGCTGGAGGAGGGGACGCAGGAGCTCCCGTGGGACGAAGACAATGGTAACACCTGGTCTGGGGCAGGTTAAAGCTTTGCTCACTCCTCTCTGCAGCAATCGCCATTAGCACACGTTTGAGGAAGAGCACAGTGAGGAAGAGAGGAAACGATGAAGCCGAGAGGAGGAGGAGACTGGTGCCAGCAGAGCACAGGGGATAAAGAGGAAGAGAAGAGCATGGCTTGGTGGTGGTTCATGTCAAAACAGTCAGAGGGACGAAAATGACCCGTCACGTTCCTTATGATTTGGAACTGGGTCCAGTCTTGTTGGGTATTTCCATTAACAGCCTCAGCAGAAGAACCCTGAACGTGGTGATGACATTTTGTGATGGTGCAATGCTGGGGAGGCATCACCGAGGCATTAGAATGTCACCCTGGAAATGCGTGACTTTTGGGCTAATAATAGAAACAGGACGAAATTAATGGTTGAAAGAGCAAAGTCGCATCCCAAGGACTAACCCAAGTTCTTTGACCGTGCTGGGGACCACAACCAGGTCCTGGCACAGCAGAAGAGAGGTGGGGGATGGTTGTGAGGCTCAGTGTGATGGGGCCATGGAAAAGGTCTGGGCTCTGGGAAGCAAGCGATGGAGAAGATCTCTCCTTAAACGCCTTGTGTTACTCATCTGAGAATCGGAGCGGAACAGGAACAAAGGAAAGAAAGCAAAAACTGGGAGAGAGATGAAGTGCCAAAGCTAAAGGACAGCACTGGTCCAAGAACAAGCGAGCCACGGATTAATTTGGGCTCAAAATCAGGAGGTTTCTCATTGTCACAAGAGACAGCAGCTTCAGGAGCTCCCCAACAGGGTCAGCAGGGACTCGAGGACACGTTTCCCATCCCATCTTCTCAGGGAAGCCTCCACATGAGCAAAGGGCATCATTGGTGGTGAAACACTGGCACAGGTCGCCCAGGAAGGTGGTAGATGCCCCATCCCTGGAAACATTCAAGGTCAGGTTGGATGGGTCTCTGGGCAACCTGGTCTAGTGGGAGATGTCCCTGCTCCCTGCAGGGGGGTTGGGCTAGATGACCTCCATGGTCCCTTCCAGCTGAAGCTATTCTATGATTCTAAGATTCTATGATTGCATAAACTGCGATTTGGTTCCTTGCAGCAGCAAAACTCCCAGCTTGTGAGACACTAGTGGCACGGGGAGAGCGGTCCCGTGTGCGTGTGTGCAAACAGCCGGGCAAAGAGAAGAAACAGGAGACGGGCGAGCGGAGCTCAACAGCAACGAGGCGTCGGGTGCCAACCTCTGCACCCTGCAACCAGCTGGAATGATGACTCCCCGCAGCGCCTCGGAGCCCTTCGTGAAGGACAACAAACTCTGCGAGCCCTACCCCTGCAAAGGGGACGGGAAGGAGCCGGCCCAGGGTGGGATCCCAGTGTCCTCATTCATGTTGCTGCCCTGGTGGTTTTGGTTTAATGGCATTAAACCAGAAATCAGAAGACCATCAGCCACGGGGAGAGCTGGGCAGCAGAAGGTGGTTTGGCATCACAGTGTGTCTCCCCAGGAGATGAGTCAGCTCGAGTCCCCCAGAAAAGTGAAGGGAGAGAGGGGAGAGGTGAAACGCTCATCTGCACAAGCGTCGCCTCCAAAGCGGATGCCAGAGTTTCCCCCAGCTCCTCTCTCGGTCCAGGGGGAGGTTTGGCTACACCTTCTCAGACATCCCCCTCGGCAGGGTCTGTGGGGGGTGAAGCTCCACCGACTGCCGCCGGCGGACCTCGCGCTCTGCCCAGTCCTCCTCCGGCTCGCAGCCTTTGAGGATGGCAAGTCTCTCCGAGAAGGATTTGGCTTGCGGGAAGAGGATGTAATTGTAGATGATGGAGGCTGCTGCT